TACCACTATATAAGAGATAACTCCTTAACTAAAGAGGTTGTTAGAAGAGGTTCTCACAGCTAGAAGTATAAAAACTCTACTACTACGCGCAGGGCCTTATACCTATCCCTCTTTCTCTTCTTAACCTATAATAAGTCCTAAGACTTCATAATATCTATACTATAAGAAATATATAAAAACGTTAATCCCCTATAAGGTATACCCTTCTATAAGTAAACGGCTGAGGGTATTACTATATAGGATAATATCTATACACTAAATAAAACCCTTAAATTTAGTAAGTATTTTTTTGCTAATTAGCAGTATATTATTAGGGTAGTAATAGCTAGAGCCCTTATAAATACCCCTAAAGGGGACCCTCTCTATACTATAATTAAGGCGATAAACGACAGCCCTAAATACCTCTATATAGAGGCTATATATATCTCTAGCTATCCTAAAGAGTAGCCCTTCTTTATATAAGCCCTCTATAATACTAAGGCAGAGGTAGCCTAAGCTTAAGCATAGGTATAGGTATAGTAGGGCTTATTAGTAAGTATACCTTATGCTAACTAATAGAGAGAGCGTTACTAATAATAGTATAGCTAATAGCAGATAGTAAGGTAGTAATAGAGATAGTGTTAGTAGTATAAGTGATATATAAGAGAGAGGATAGGTTAATAGTTTAGTAGTTAGTAATTAAGTAATTAAGTAATTATAAACTATATTGTTATTAAAATGAAGTTGAAGATTATGAGGTTGTTAACATATATATATAAGTACAGCTATAGTTAGGAGAGCTACGATCATATAACTAAAAGCTATGTGTATTATTAGGAGGCGTGGAGTTAGGAGGTCTGTCGCTCTAAGCAGGTAAAAATCACTATAAACAGCTAGAGGCCCTAAGTTAGTATTTTTCTTAATAAAATACTACTATTAAGCTAGAATCTAATTAAGGAATTAAACTAATATAGCTATAATCTACTTTAACTTCTTTATAATAAACTAAGACTTAGTTTCTAACTAGGTTAAGTATATACTATAAATATTACTACTAATCTTAAGATAAGTTAAACTTATATAAATAATCTTTAAAGCCTAAATAAAGTAATAGATTAATATATATCTAGTATTAACTAAGTATATACTTACCTCTAGTCTATTTTCTATCTATATCTATTATAATTATATATANTATTTTCTATCTATATCTATTATAACTATATATATAATATCTACTATACTTAGATAGATATAAGCTTAGTATATAAAGCTATTTAAAATAAACTCTAATAAACTAAAAACCCTTTTAAAAAGAAAGTAGTAATCTACTCTCTTACCTATATTTATCTATATATAAGTATATAATTTAAATACTATTAACTATTAGCTTTATATAAGGTCTATATATATAGGATATACCTTTAGCCTAATCTAACTATCTATATATCTTAAATATAGTTATATTCCCCCTCACTATCTTAAATAATATATTAATCTTAAGATACTATACCTTCTAAAATAAAATAGTATTTATATATATAATATAGATTATATAGAAATCTCTATTTTATATAAGTTAGACTTTATAAATCTATTACTTAGGTTTAAGTTTTATTTAGTTTAAAATAAACTCTTATTAAACTCCTATATATAGTAAGTATATATAATTTATATACTAAGTAGTAATATACTTATAAATAAGTAGCTATCTAAGTATTATAGAAGCTATACTTAATAAATAAGAATAGTAACCTTATCTTTATTATTAAGTTTATAGTTATAACGCAGCCCCCCTGCAAAAAGACTATAGCAAAATTCACCCTATATATAGGTATAATTCTAGAAATACTATATAGGCACTTTTACTTATGCCCTCTACTAGTTAAGGAAAATAGTATAGAAACCCTATATATTCCTACTAGCAGGCAAACCCTCTAAATATTATAAAGTTAAATATACGCCCTAGCTAAATAGACTAGTAGAATAGTAATAGCGCTAGTTATATAGTATAGGGCTAGTAGTAGTAGTGCTATATATAGTAAGGCTAATTATATTAAGGCTAAATAGGTTACTAAGGCTCTTATAGTGATAGCTTTACTAAACCTTCTAGTAAGGTGCTATAAATACTACTATAAGAGAGATAACTCCTTAACTAAAGAGGTTATCCTAAGAGGTTTTTATAGCTAGAAGTATAAAAACTCTACTACTATAAGTAGGGCTTTATACCCTTCCCTCTTCCTCTTCCTTACTAGCCTATAATAAATCCTTTATAATATCTACACTATATAAAGTACTTAAGTTTACTAAGTATAAGCTAAGTAGTACCCTTATCTCTATAAATAATATATAATATATCTAGAATAACTTTAACTTTAGTATATTTAATAAGAAGTTCCTATTTAAAGAATAATCTAAAGAAAACTAGAAGTATATTATCCTAATAACTTTATTAATAAACTTCTTAGAAACCCCTATAAGTAGTAATATTATCCCTCTTACTAAAAAAGCTTTAGATAATATTAATATAGAGTTTAACTATATCCTTAGCTACCCTAATAAGTAGGACTTCTTCTCTAAAGTACTTAAAGGTACTAAAGAGGATATAGGCCTTATATAGAGGAATATTAGTAAGTACACCTTATACTAAATAGAGAGAGTATTACTAATAATAGTATAGATAGTAGATAGCGAAGTAGTAATAGAGATAGTATTAGTAGCATAAGTAATATATAAGAGAGAGAATAGGTTAATAGTTTAGTAGTCTATAGTAATTAAGTAATTAAGTAATTATAAACTATATTATTATTAAAGTGAAGTTAATAATTATAAGGTTATATATATATATAAGTGTAACTATAGTTAGGAGAGGTAGTTAGAGACTATAATTATATAACTAAAGGCTATTTATATTATTAAGAGGCGTAGAGTTAGGAGGTCTATCGCTCTAAGCAGGTAAAAATCACTATAAACAGCTAGAGGCCTCCTTATTATAAAATAATATATTAATAGTTTAAAAAGAATTAACTCTAAAGTTAGTATATAGCTATTAGATACTTAAATAGAGTAAAAACTTATTTAGATATATACTTAGTATATATATAATATATCTTAAAACTCTTCTATATATATATTATAACTAAAGTAATATTAAGTTTAATTAAAAAGCTTAATATAATCCTATTTACTAGCTATATTAGAAACTAAATAGATAGGAGTAAGATATATATATAAAAACTTTTTAGAAAGAGGAATATAAATAAGAACCTAATTAAGTTTTAAGATATATAGATATTAATCTTAATTTTATAACTATATATTTTAATCTTATTTTAGTTTTAAAGATAAGAAAATCCTAGAATATTATTAATATATATATAATATAAAATAAA